TCTTCATTGTGGTAAACGAAATAATATTTTGGTCTAAGTAAGAGTTTTTTTTTCTTCCCGATTTGTAAAAAATCCTTACGTGATAGAAAAAATAATAATATTATTTTCAAAATCTACGTAGCTCAATTATAGAAAATCCGTTAGTAAAACCAAAACAACTTTTATGAAGTTTAAGTTCGCAGGCCTGTGTTATAATTATTTCTTACAATTCAAACTAATTTATGTACGTACATTATTCAAAGGAAAATTAAAATGTCCAATTCTTCTTTGCCTTAATGATTCTGCTATACGATATATTTGAAGTATAGGCTACTAATAAATATCCACAAATTGTAAAGCTACTACTAATTTAATAACATGTTACATTTGTACATTTTACACAGATTGTTTGTTACTTGTATTTATTCTGTACCTTTATGCAGTTGTAAGATTAGCCAGCAGAGCAACGTAGTAACCCAAACCAAATACTTACAACATGAAACGTTATTAGCACAATTCCATTGATGATAGTGAAGTATCAACAACTTTAGTTAAAACGTATAAAAGTTTAGTAATTTGCAGGTAACTTTTGAGATTGCTATATTTTTATTGTAGAGCGTTTAGTGAGTTGACAAATCTTATGCAAGATGCTTATTGTGATTGATTTATAAATTTTATTATTTGATATAAACCTGAAAGCTGATCAAACTATTTCAATTCACAGTTATATGGATGTATTAGTTCTTACTTTCTGTAACTTACATCCTGACGTTTCATTTTCTTTCTCAAAGTTTCAGACTTTCTCCGTGATACGTCACTTTTCCATTTCACAATTTTTCGCATCGTGATTTTCGATGTTTTTGTTCACTTTATACTTATAACTTTATATTCATTTTTAATAATCTTATACTCATACTGAAGTAAAAGAAAATTACTTATGTAATTTACGAAGCTTAAGTTACTATAAAATTACAGGAAATTTGTGTGCAACGAACTCGGTACGAACGACTTGCGATTCCTTCGGTCACAGAACAATTCAATTCATAGCGTACGCTTAGATTCTCCAGCAGAAATAGTTACTTTTCTTCTGAAATATTACAATGATTCCCCGCTAGGAAGACTCACTTTGAAATTCTGCATTAAACTCACTTGATCACAATTTTAGAAGTTTTGTTGGAACATAAATTTTAGTGATAATAATAAATGTACAAAATTAATGTACGTTATTAATAAAGAAAGAAATACTGTTTGTCTAGTAAGGAATATATTTAGGAGAAAATGTTATAAAATAAGGTCCTATTATTTGTTTAATTTTAGCGAGGGCCTATTTTGTAACATTTTTCATTTTGGTGTGATATAAAGTGAAATTGTAGTGAAATCTTTTTAGGAACTTCCCCTTATGATGTTGAAAAATCGTGCGAAGTTTTATCCAAATCGGACTGTGGGAGGAATTTAACGTACAGACGGACATTATGTATATAGATAAATAAAACACAATGTTGGTTTGTTGGTGACACAATGGGCTATGTGTGCTGTGCCCATCACGGGTATCAAAACCAGGATTTAGCGTTAAAAGACAATGTAATGTCTGACCTTTTGTCAGTGAAAATAGATAAGACTTAATTTATTTGCTTTTTTTATCAATGAATTTATCACGATTGTTAAATTGTGTGCTTGTCTTTAACATTACACGTTTGAACAATATAAAATATTTTTCTTGTTTAACTGGATCGTGATACTTCCCAATAAGTTATATCGAGGCAAATATCCCACATTAGGGGCGTAACAAGGTAGGGTAGGGGGTCAAATGACAACCCCAATACTTTAAAATTCTGTATTGTACATTCTGATATTTTGTTGTTGTTGTTTTTTTTTTCAAATATACACTTGAGTTCATGCAACCCGCTCAAATTCTTTGGGTAGAAGAAAATACCCCCCCCCCCCCTACCTTCAAACACACATACATAAACACTCGTAGTGCTGGCTACGCCCCTTCATATAAAATAAAGAAATATTCTACTTAAAACTAATAACGTATATGTAATTGTTAATTATACAATACGTAGAACACTTATACATTTAATTTTATTTTTCAGTACAAATACATCAGTACAAACATATCGTTATAACAATAATGAACAGAGAAGAAGATGAAATAAATTTAAAAAATTCAAACGTACGTAAACAACAAAAATATCTCAATCGGAGTCTTTTTACATACGTGTTATATGTATATTTTAATAAGCTTTGAGCATCTATCCCTCATCATTTTTTGTGGGGGAATTAAATGTTCGTTCGTATGTTTCCTAGAGGCAGTGGTATGCCAATGTGATATTCTCTGCACAATTGTGTGTGTATATATATTGTTGCGTATTGTTAATTTCCGGTATAAAATTCTTTCCGAGGAACTTCAGCGATACAAGTCCTTTCTTAAATAAAATTAGTTTATTCTTTCTTGATACAACTTTGTAATACACAGAATTTCCACAGTCACTTTAAACTTAACAACCTTTATAACACACGCTATAAATCACATGATTCACACACTTTACTTACGGTGCCTACTGTTCACTTGACTCAGTTATCTCTATCTTCAATCTATCTGCATATCTATCTCCCGCTGGCTTTATTTGCCGGGCTTATATACTAAAAAAGAGGGCGCCTGGCAAACACTCGGATATTCGCGGGATTCCTCGATAAGTCATGATCCTTCTAGAAACTCCAGCGTCGCGTAACTTCCGCTGTCGTAACAATATATATATATATATATTCCATTTAGCAACGAACACAACTTACCCTCCCTAATCCCAGTTAAACTTGGTATGTATTCACTTAAGTACGATAGTTTAGAAACCCCCACAAATCGCGATCAATCTATACGTACAGATCGTGGATGAGTTTGAGTTGATTGCATTTACACACACAAGTCAGGGATGAGTTTAAGTTGATTGTGGTTACACACATGGGTGAGAGAACAATTTCAGTAGATTGTAACTATACACATGGGTTAGAGATGAGCTGAAGTTGATTGTAGTTATACAAGTCGGAGATGAGTTTAAGTTCATTGTAGTTATACACACAGGTTAGAGATGAGCTGAAGCTGTTTGTAGTTATACACACGGGTCAGAGATGAGTTTAAGTTGATTCTGGTTACACACATGGGTGAGAGAAAAATTTCAGTAGATTGTAACTATACACACGGGTCAGAGATGAGCTGAAACTGTTTGTAGTTATACACACGGGTCAGAGATGAGTTTAAGTTGACTGTAGTTATACAAAGAGCCTTCATGTAGTTCGTAACGTCATGTATTATTTTAGTATATCGTAACCTGAGGTATATTTTCTAGACTTTGATTATTTTCTTAAATGATGAACTGTAATCAAATTTTCAAGATAGACTGGAAGATTGAAACCAAAGTAAACAATGTAATTTTCACGTATACACGCCGTAATCCGGTTCTAAACTCATTAATAAGTACATCCAAATACACCGACCCACTTTAACGCTATGGTACATTCAAATATAGTGACCCACTTTAATGTCATCTTACATCCAGTCCCCCAATGGCACAGCGGTGTGTCTATGGACTTGCAACGCTAGAAACCGGGTTTCGATACCCGTGGTGGGCAGAGCACAGATAGTCCATTGTGTAGCTTTGTGCTTAACTTCAAACAAAACATCTTACATCCAAATACAATGACCTACTTTAAAGCACTTAACAACAAGCAACCACTTCTCCATGCTGTCGTGATGATTTATTAGAGACGTTGAACTTCCTACAAGGATAAATACATATATCTTGACTGCGTTTTAATAATCCAATTCTCGTGCACAGTTCCTTTAAACGGCTGGTCAGCTTGAGGGCTTATAAAGCCAAAAATATGGGTTTACTCCCTGCAGCGGACATAGCACTTATAGTCAAATGCAGAGGTTCCAAGATTGAGGACTGTGGGTCCCTGGGGGGCCGCAGGAAAGTATCAGGGTCCACAACAAATATACAAAATACACAATAATCTTAAGATACTCGGTATCTATAGGTTCATTGGGATGGGGGCCTATGTTACGATACTCAATGTTCTTGGAAGCTGTGAGGAACTATGGCCTAATGTACAAACAAGTATTTTAATGTTTTAAAACATATATGTTTAATTCTGGCATTTTTGTTTGCATTTTGATTTTAAGCCTTGAAAAAACACACAAGATTCTGCTCTGGGGTTCCTTATTTATCTGTGTTTAACACCATCTTCAATATTCAATGTTCATTGTGTATTCATTTGTGCTCTTCTCATTCCAAAGCAGTCATTCCATATACCTCCTCCAGTGAATCAGCGGTAAGTTTGTGGACTTATAACGCTAAAAATCGGGTTTCGATACTCCTGGCATTGTGTAGCTTCGTGCTCAACTACAGAGAACAACAACAAAAAATAGTACCCTTAATTAAAAAAAAAAAAAGGGACGCATGCTGTATGACGTCACCACAATGCCATCTGTATTATCTGCGATTTTGTCAAATCATTATTCTACTTTGTCCCTGATTGGTTGGTTAGACAGATGTCACACCTAGGTAGACTAGGTAGAAGTGTACGTAAGGTAATGATAAACAACAGACAAACATCGAGTCAGGTTACTCTCTGAAACGTATTAACATCGTATGACAAAATGCCCACCGTCTTGTATATTTTAAGTCTTGCTTCGATTTCTGCAGTTGTAAGAACTATGAGAAATGGAGAGATTACTTTAAGTGCTTACTTTCCGGGATCTAATGACATCCTTAATCCAAGATCAGTAGTGGATCCAACCTTAATGGACAAAGTTACTTATTGCTTTTGGCTAAAGATCAAAACAGACATTACTCGGGAGCACTTCGTTTTCTCCTACGTAGTCGGCAGAGGAGAAGATAACGAAGAAATCATGGTTTCCATTAAAATAACCAATTCAACCGAAGAAGCACTGATTAAACTTAAAGTTAGAAATGTGCAGGCTTCAGTGAGTTGTTCCCCTTTCTTAATTAGTAAGTGGAACAGACTTTGTATGGCTTGGAGAAGTGTAGATGGAAAAGTAAAGCTAATCATTGGAGAGTACTTGTGTAATGACGAGATATCTGGTGTAACAACTGAACTAAATGCCCGATTTGGTGGTTTAGTTATGCTGGGTCTGGATCAACATAGCGTGGACGATGGGTTATCGTTAAATGAAACAGTTATTATTGGCGAGATGACCCAAGCTAATTTCTGGAGGGAGTTTCTGAATACTGGTCAGATGACACGAGCCAACTCTTGTATTGCACAAGCTTGTAAAAGTAGCCCTTGTTGTTATGGAAATCAAGAAACTAAAAGCAATATTACCACCTGGATTGAAACAAGGTTTAAGGTTCTAGAACGTTTAACGATGTCTGGATCGTTTGTTTGTAAATGAAATCCAAATTCAGTTACACATAAAACTATTTTTATACAGAGAAAACGTTCGTGAGATTCATTACCTTCAGACACAAGATGGTGGTATTTAGTAGAAAATGTTTAACGATTATTTGAAATCTATTATCGCAGTTCTCTGGACATTTTTTCCCTTATTTTCATCTCTTTTGTGGCTGGCAAGTTAACTTTTAAACATGTATTATCTATTATCGCAGTTCTCTGGACATTTTTTCCCTTATTTTCATCTCTTTTGTGGCTGGCAAGTTAACTTTTAAACATGTATTATCTATTATCGCAGTTCTCTGGACATTTTTTCCCTTATTTTCATCTCTTTTGTGGCTGGCAAGTTAACTTTTAAACCTGTATTCATATTTTAATTCCCAAAGATATAAATAAAGATCACCTCAAACGTATTTCCTCGTGCTTTTGTTTAAGTTTTTTTTAACAATGTTTAAGGGTTTTCTTATAGCAAAGCCACATCAGGCTATCTGCTGTGTCCACCAAGGGGAAACGAACCCCTGATTTTAGCAGCGTAAATCCGAAGACTTACCGCTATCCCAGCGGGAGACAACAATGTTTAAGAAAATAAGCTTTAATGATTCGTTTAAAACAAATACGTGTCAAGTTTGCATGATTATTGTCTGAAAATTTAAAACAGGTAAAATGTTATTACCACTAAATCCTGAGAAATATAGACGCGCTTGGCATATGAACGTTAACAATTAATAAATGTAACGGTTTTCTGTTTTTGTTAGATGATATTTTTGTAGTAATAAATATAAGTTAGTTATATTAAAAAATCAACAACAACGGTAGACTTCTTCTATTGCTATAATTAATTGCATATATTATTAACTTCTAGATTGAGTTTATTTTCATTATTTGAATTAACACGTATTTATATCAGTGATATACTACTATCATGAGTCTTTGCTTTGAAAATCGTGTCCCAAATATCACCTTCATTATCTTTAAGCCATTGATGTTTGGGTGGATAATCTCTAGAGAAACTTAAAAAAATACTAATACGTCATTTTCAGTTAACATCATATTTTTTTCTGTCTTTACATTTGAGTTTAATGCTACGTCCAATCATTTTAATCCGTTCGAATCAACTTATACACTTCTGATAAAATAAAGGAAAGTGCTAATTTCAGCCCATCTTTGAACGTTTGTCGTTTTTTTCGAAAATTCGACGTTATATTTATTTTTTGGTAGCGTTTGATGGGAAGTAATCTACTGATATATCTCATGATAAACAACATTGTTTATTGACAAAAAGGAGACATGGATAAACGTTTCGGAATTCTATCAGATTCCATCTTCAGTATCTAAAGCAGAATAAAATGAATTTACATCAGTCTTTATACATTTTCAAGGTACAGTTGCTAAATATAACAATAATTAGACAAATAAAACACTAAACAGTAATCATGGGGAGAAACTACAGCAAGAAAACACAACGAAAAGAAAAAAAACGAAAAATCAGTGATACGAACATATTAAAAAATGTATAATTTAAATGAAGACTGCATGTTGTTTAGAG